TGCATACGCACAACTTACTGTTGCCTACACATATTCCAGTGCATTCGATATCGTGTGCTCATGATCACAAACACTCACACATTCTCATTCAGTAGTCTAATAACGTAACGCGTTATTATACACACATCTTCACCTCGTTACAAATGTGTGCGGGTGTCTGTTTTTTTTTATGGTTCACCATATTTCAATACGGTTCGTTTAATATCACTTACACGTGTATTATTACACTTATAACTCGTATAAGCCGTATTGTTACCATTTGTACGTGCGTCCATATTAAACTGTATATATATATATATATATATATATATTTGTTATTTATCATATTATTGTGTATCGTTCATTTCAAGTGGAAAAACGATTTTCCCGACTATATAACGACGTTGTTGTTTTCGTACATGACGAACGATCGGCTTTTGGCTCCGTATAAAATATAATATATATATATATTATAATATAATATGGACACCGGCGGAAACCTATTACACCGATCCCCTTGTAATGAGATTTTTCTCTTCAGTAGATTATATTCTTGTAAGTATAATATTATATTGTATGTACGAGTATACGGCCACTTCCTAAAGTCCGTCTGGTGACGCGACCACACATATATAGGTATATATGGGCTGAACACAATCCTACATAATAGCCACTATATATATAGTCTCGTACGACGAACCGAATAACACAGATTACCATCACCGATGATCTGGTAAATTGTTTTCAAACCATCCACCCCTACGGTACACTACGATTTTCTTGGATGTACTTAAAATGCCATTACACGTACAGGGTAAAATTATTTGTCTTCGGGGATTCAGATAATATTTCAAGTCGATTTCCCTCCCTTTCCCAACCACCCACGTCATTTCGTCCGGAAAATACCTATATAATAATATTAAAACCTGTATAGAATATATACGGATGTATTTTTATACAGAGAGGAAGTTAAAATATTCAAGAAAATATTTACTCTCTGGCTTGGGATCGGGATCCGCGAGTGGGAATGTCTGAGAGTATTCGAGTCCTGTGACACGTCGTGGGCCATCGTCAGAAAAGTTATTACACAAGTACTTTGTTAAACTTTGATGTCATGTTATCCTATTACTATAACACTGGCTCAAGCGCACAAGAAATGTTGAACCAAAGTTTAAGTTTAATTGTTGAATAAAGCAAATTAACAAGGCAATTTTTTTTTTTGGAAAAATTATCATTAGATAGTTTAGGAAATTAATTAAACAGGTTATAAAATTATCAAAACTATAAAAAATAAATGGTTTAAATTTAAAGTGGTAGGTAATGAAAATATTAAGGGGCTTTATGTATAACTATTCACAAACGTCTAATTTTTTTTTAAATGACAATAATTCAGCTTCACTTAAATTCACCATCGCTGGTGTTTCGCAAGTAAAATTGTCACCCCAAAATATCTGGTCGTTTTATCTCGAATGTCACAATTCATCAAAATTAATTTTTGTTCACTATAAAATTAATGGTGGTCATGTTTGTGCATTACTGTTTACTTGTTCTCTACAATGTTGAATTCCTACGGACTGCAGTACTGTACCCACTATACTAGATGTAATTGTACCCGTGGTATACCCATTTTCTGATAGTATCGGACCAACCAATCAAACGTGGGTTTCAAAGTTTAAAAATCAAACAAATTCTTCAAAAATGACAATAATTGTTCAAATTGTCAACTGTAGGGTCAACCATAAGGCGATCCAAACGGGATTTTAGATCATCATAACTGGTTGAGGACAATCGTAATACAATTGAGCATGCGGTAGTTTCCATTAGCCTATAATATGATAATACCTAACTGTTGATAGACGTCCCTCGGGCCCCGAAAGCGAATTAATTACGGGAGAACTCCGTGATAATGGATACCCAGTTATAGCAGCGTACGTCATGCTGCTGCTCCAAACCAATTCTCCAGAGGGGCCATAAGATATTATTTATACAAAATGTAACAAAATGAATATTAAAGTTTCAAATAGCATATCACTGTCACAAGTGTAAATGCAAAAACCATTTTTTTTTTATTAAATGTACTTACTTGTTCTTCACACTAGTTGCTAAAAGTTGGCAAATGTCTTCTCCCCCACTATTTATCCAAGAAATATCTCAACGATATTCCATAGTTAATTTTAAGACCCCTTAAAATAACGGTACCTAGTAACCATTTCTATCACCACAAAATGCTTACTTCAGATCGAACTATAATACTATTTTATATAGTCACTAAAGATAAAACAATAAAAATATTCATTGGTCTCTAATCTTAAACGGTTAGCTGAAAACTCAAATCGACGAGTCTTATCTTCTCATTGAAAAATGTAAACTAACTGCAGACTATACTCGTACGGTTTCATACATCTAATCAGCACCCGAAAACTCTCCACACATAATGATTTATCATTTTATTACTGGTCGGGGAAGTCACCTGACATTAATCCAAGTCGTATTTTTCAAGTCATATTATGTACCTAACTATTATGATTTTGGCCAACTTTTACACTATAGCCATGCTTTTAATTGTTACCATTTATCAGATGTTGTAACGTTGTTTGTTTTTCTTCTCATAACAGTTTGTATGCATATAATTGACTGCAAAATTATATTTGAAATCTAGTTTGTAGTTTACAAGGTTATGATTTTGATTGCGATTCAAATTTATTTCCATATTGAAATTTCCGTTCCACGGTTTGGTTACAGCTTGTAAACATAATGTATTATTATAATACATGCTTCAAATATTCAATTGTACTCTAAGACGCTTAATTTTCAAAACGCATTTCCCTACAACAATATTATGATCATAATAATTGTTGTGATTTCTCCAAAATAATAATAACTTAAACGCTACTGTGCACTGTTAAATATTTAAGAAGACATGATAAAATTGACCCGTATTGAATATTAACAGTGAACTACACCAACAACCGTTTTACCTACTCCCTAACGGTCAACAAATTATGCAAATTAGAAAATTAATAGAGCTACTGCGGATAAATCGGAAAAACTGTGCGTATCAAATGAGAAAAGTTACGGATGTGGATAATACAATAGGTACCTAATTAAATAAAACAAAATAATATTATATTTTTAGAAGCAAACACGACACTTCCAGTGTATTACACCTATAAATCAATTAAAATATTTAACTATACACTGTACTTTATAGGAATAGATATGTATAATAAAAAGCGTTAATTGTAACAAAACTATGGTTTTTATCGCTGACGTTCAACAAGTCTATAATCTTTAAATACTGAATAAATGCATTTGATTCATTATGTATAATGGACAAGTAGTTAACTATGGTAGAGAAAGTAAAGGCAGTTGAATCGAATACAAAATTTAATTCAGATTAAAAAACAAGTTTGAAATGGTACGGTACATACAATACATGTATATTGTATATTCTGTAAGTCAACAAAATCCACAAAATATACTTGATAAACTTAAGTATTAATAAAGATGATTTAAATGTATTATTCATTTGTCGTTGACATTGAACTAATATACACACACAATATAAACCAATTGTAAAAAAAACCTTTCTCTGGTTGTTGTAACGTACTAACGTAATGTTACATCTGCATAACATTCAGGAGAAATTAGGCAACTTTAAAATCTAATACGACCATTTACTTTTAATAGAGTTGGAAATAATATCATACATTGTTTGCATTACCTAACATTAAGTAAGACTATTGTAATCGTTATTATTATAATTATCTTTAATTTTACTTATTACCAAGCAAGTTAAATAGAGCATTTACATTCGACTATAATTTAAGACACTATACATTCAATTTATTAAAACGGAAAACAATCAACTGGATCAAACACTTGTGGTGAAACCTAATCTAAAAATGTACATTGTACATGGTATACTCAGCCACTCAGGGTAGAATAGTAGCTATTGTTGAGATTCGAGGTTACACTACCAATAAAATAAGTATACATTTATATTTAATTTTTAAAGCTGAGGGATATTCTGTAAATAACTTTTGACTATGGATTTCTAAAATAACATATTTATATGAGGTATAATACAATATAATATAAAATAACTATATCAACTAACAAAACTTAAGTTGTTAATGCGTAACTCTCAAAGTATTATATTTGATTGTAATTAAAGTTTTTTGTCCTCCATTAAAGTGTTGAATAATACTTAAAGCGATTATGCTTAAAGCTTTTAACTGAAATATAACATCCATGGGTTAAATTATTGATAATTTAAAATAATTTAATGATCGTTTAATTTACTGTATAAACTGTAGGAACAGTATTTTGTGCCATTTAAACGTTTAATTTAATTAAATATTATCCTCAGAGAGACCATTAAAAATCAGAAACTAGCTAATTGATCAGCAATACAATTAAAAGAGATTTGTTCATTGTTGCACATGAATATAATGTATATTACGGTTATTGATTAAATAATCAATAAAGAAATTCTTAAAGAAAAAGTATACTCAGCTGCAAAAAGATATCACTACTTTGATATAGTCAGACTTTTTTGGATGAACTTTTTTGGGTCTGGGAATTGGCTCTTTTTTCAACGGTTAGATTTTTGTCGATATAATTTACACACCGTATTCTATAAACACATTCCTAATACGCATTTATATAAGACTGCTGTTTGAGTGGCGTATAAAAATAGATAATACCTATTGACCGGTACTACTACATAATATTTCACAAATATTTACAGAATAATATGGTAATATAAACTTTTTGATTATACAAATAATCGTTAAATCGAATAATGGCACCTACTGTAATATTAAGTCTGAGACACTAAACTATAATATTCAAGCATGCCCATATCACCAGCTGTAAATGGACTCTCGACCATCATAATAATATTATAATATAATGCTAAAACCTTCGAGATAATATGTTAGAAAATAATTAACGTGACCTGATTGTCCATAATAACTCTTAATTATAATAATAATATACCAAATGATGATGTTTACCTGATAGAGCGCCGGATCACTTCGGCGTCCGAACCTTAACCTCAGTGATGGAGATCTCTGGTTTTTGCGGACCATGCGATGTTGATTGGGATCGATCAAAGAGTTTCCCATGGAGTCTATTAGATCCCTTTGCAACAACAGTTCGTACAGATCTTTGGCGTCTGAAACACAATGGTTGTTATTGATTGCGTTCATAGTATATTTTTTTTAATTTAGAAAATTGTACAATTTTAAACATGTAGCACAATAAGCATAACGGAGATCATTGCTGTATTGTTAGGGTGGGAGATTAATCACCCAAACGACGACAATCTTGCATGAGCTAAAAATGGATTAAAAATTATAATATATGTGTGTGATTACTGGTTATTTATAAAAATGGTCTCGTGGCCATTTCCGATTTGGCCATCAGGCAGGGTTTTCGTGAATGGTGATAGATAATGGGGGAGGAGGGGGGGGGGTTAATATGATTTTGAAAGTAGCATAACTTGGATATTTTATCAACTTAAGAAACACGAAGATCAGTCAAGAGGACTTAGGAGTGTATAATTTGAAACGCATAGAGGATCATTAATTATATGAGTCTAATTATTATTTTTAATTAGAACACTCGTATTTTTGAGTGTTAGTATTTTGAAAGAGCCTAAAATTAAATACCATACATCTATTATACGGGTTTAAGCAGAAGATTATAAATTTTTAATTTCGGTTTTGAGGAGTATTTTTCTAGTACGATTTCTAAGGAGATTAAGTCATCTGTTTGATTTTAATTTTAATACTGTTGAGTGGATGCAGTGTTTTGCTCATGTCAGACGTTTATCAAAAGTTAGACCTAATAATTTCGCTGTATCAAATTTTGGTATGGGATTGTTATTTATGTTTATCGACTACCAACGGAAATTGACCGTGATGAAAAACAAATGTTGTGTGGTCTGATTTGTGCGTTTATAATGTAATATAATATTTGTGAATTATCGTGAAACAGCGTCGTCGTGACGTTGATGTGAGCGTGCTTATTTCGTCGCTATACTCTCGCAGTATCGTTACAACATTATTATTTTTATCAGCTGACGAGGTTCTTCTTTGGCTGCATAACATAATTGTTATTATTTGTATTAGTATAATTATATGGCGCACGTGACGTGGTGGTTTGTTTGTAGTTACTTTTTCATGGTTGGTATATACCGGAGAAAAAATATCGCTTATATTCGACAAAGTAAACAAAAGTATCTAAATCGTTTTGAGTATAGAGCGCTCCGATGAGCTGCACGCTCAGCAAAATCGTAGATAACAATAAACGTGTACGAACGATCCGAAGAATAATATAATATAATACAGCAGAATATTCAGGTCAGGGTCAAACTCGCAGGAAAATAAATAATAATAGAAGAAACGACAATTAAATAACGACTACCGTATTTCAAGTGTTTCACAGTGTTTAATAATTTTAAATTAATTTAGTTTTGAAAAAGTACATTTATTTACGTCGTAAATATTTCACAAGAGTATTTGGAGAACATTTGTAATTTTTATAACTCAAAATAATTGGGTAGTTGAAATATGTTTCCTTTTCAAATTAATTCAACTATATAGGTATCGATGTCTTACGTAACACAAGTTGTTTATTCATTTATTATGCATTAGGTATTATCGTTGATTGCGTATTATATTATAAGTATTGTTGTTTACTGTTGTACTTTATTTACTATTACAATAACATAAAAGGAGAGAGGATAAAGTTTGAATTTAATAATTACATTTTTTGTTATAATGAACGTATAAACTATTTGTCTTAGATAATAAATAATAATATATTAATTTTAATAAATACAATTTTAATTATGATATATTGTTTAAATTTGTATTATTTCTATCAAGAGCTAAGAGTTGTATGTTTTGGTTTTTTTTATTATTTTTCTGTAAATGTATTTGAGGCATATAACTACATTTAGTTCTGCAAAGTTGAATTAGCTAAGAACTTTGTAAAAAGAAAATCATCATATTACTGGTGACATTACAGTTATATGTATGGTATTTCCATGTGGGACACCTTGTGGTATATTGTTAATTTAAGCAAGTCAAAGTATGAGTTAATACCAAATAACCAAACAATACTATATTAAACTCTAAAAGGTCAAAATTAACATGGAGAACATTGTAACTTAACTATGTTAAAAATAAGTTCATTGTTTTTTTAATTAATTATTACCTGAATCAGTCTTAATATAGTGAGTAATTATGTAACTTTAAACTGTATTACGTTATCAAAATATTTTTTTAAAAATGCATCCCACGACCCACACTATTCATACCTATTGAACGTTGCTGTAGTAGTTAGGCTATCAGGCGACGGTCACACATTTGTGGCTACTAAATTATTAAATCCATTAACATCTACCTATTTATTTTGTATTTAAAACCATTGTACGATTAAACAGAAAAATGATGAATAAATTAGTTGTAACTAGAAACTACAGCTATTATAGAATTTTAGTTATGTTTAAATATAGTCAGTATTTTAAAAATTAATTGAAAATAGTTCAATTGAATAGTTTAAAAAAAATATATTTTAATTACTAGTTAATGCTTTGATTTGTAGTATATTTTTGTTCCCAGAAAAATACGAGTACCTAATAATTCGTAATTACAACTTAAAATTACATTTTGGATAAACGGAATAATTGTAAATATAATTTTGAAAACAAATTTATTTTATTAAACATCGATAGCAGTGTTGTGATTTTTAATTTTTAAATTTCTTTCTTATATAGGTCGTAGGTCTGTAATGGTGATTTATCCGTAAAAATACTCTTGTAATTTAAATTTAAATTACTACTCACAAAGAAAAATCTTTACCCCGGTCCCCTAAAAGGCCCATAAATAGTTGGCTGTCTGCATCTACAACTTAAAGACACATTGGTAATTAAAAATTAAAAATAACCTTACAATTTCGTTGTTAAAAATAAAAATTTGTAATTACTAATTTATATTAATATTTAATAAATAATTTTTTAGGACATAATAAATAATAATATTTTTTTATTTTCTGTTTATTTTAACTGTTATGACAGTTTTTGATTTTAGTATTAATTGCTAGTCCTAAGTCCATTAATCAAATATGACAAAAAATACTTATCCTCAAAATTCCTAGAAATCATTTAAAATAAAAGAATAACTAGGACAAGGAAAATAACCAAGTTTCAACTCTGGATTACTTCTAACTACGTCTATAATTATTAAGGTCTAAAATGAACCTTGAAATGAAATACAAAATATTATTATATTAATAATTAATAATAAATAAGCCATTTTGGTCAAAAAAAAAAAAAAAATAGAGAAACGAGAATGGTGTACAACTTAACTATCGAACCCTCGCACAATTGATGCATTTGATTCGATATGTCTATAGGTATGTATGATTACTGAAGAACCAGAATATCGATATATTTTAAATCTATCCTTACATAAAGACTTAAAAATTCAAACAGTCTTAGCGTGCACAAATTCATTACAAAAAATACTATGCCTAATTAATGGCTTAAATAAATTCACAAACTCCAGAATGTTGTCCAAATTCATTTCTGAAAAGTGGTAACCCAAATAGAAGAGAAGAAACTGGATAAGAAAGTAAACAAGCCTAAAATTAATGACAATTTACAAATTTACGTAAGTATTAGTCGATGGTTTTTCACCATGTAAAATATAATGTAAGCTTGAACTTTATTTTTTCTTACTATAACTATTACATTATTTTAAATAATAAGAATCATATCTGTTGGATTTTTTACTGGTTGTTTGCTTAAGCTTTAGTTTGTTGGATGTGTTAGAGTAAAAACAAAGTGTATTAAAAAAAGTCTATTCATTATTTGTAATTGTATTGTTTTAGTTGAATCTATGAAAGTTTAAAATCATAAAATGAATTCAACATGTTAGGTACGCCTAACATCAATTTTCAATTTTTTTCGAAATATTTAACATAACCAAATATTTGAAATTATTTTTTAGCATCTGCGAATAATTAAAAATATTATGTAAAATGCAAAATAATAGTTATGAAAATTGGAAACAAAATTCTAATTGTTACACCATTAGACGTTTGAAAAGATTTTCACTATTAAAATAAATATTCGTATTTGGAACTACTAATTTTTGAAGACACGTGTTTAATATTATTACTATTGTCATTTTTTTTTTTTATTGAAATAATCCTGGTAACTATGGTCTTAGCTGTTTGTAGGGGGGATCGGTTGGTTTTCTAACATGTATTGTATTGTGTTGATTTTGTTGCACCCATCCGGGAGCTATCAGCGCTGGCCTTACGTATACTCATCAGAGCGTTTCCTCAGATTGAGAGTACAACCGCGCTTCAATAAGAGTAATAAGACCCATTATTATTATTATTGTCATTATTAAGTGCTGTAAAATAATATCAGAAATCTTTGTGTACTCACTCTCGTAGTCCATGTAAGATGGAGCAGCTGATATTATTGTAGAGACTAGAAGAAGAGTACACACCACGGCTGCGATGGATTTCATTTTTATTTCAGTTAGTTTTGATCTGTAAAATAAAAACAAAAACAATATTTAGATAGGTATTTTATGATAAATTATAAAACTAACGTCGTAGTACTGTCGATTGGAAAAAAAATAGTGAATTTTATCACAGCAAATCGACAATTCCAGTATGGACTATGCAGTACTAACGAACCCTGTCTGTATAGTTGTATAGGTAATAGAAACTTGAATAAACTGAGTAAATTACTATATTGTATACGTCATATTATGTAAAATTAGAAATTTACTCCAGAGAATAATGAAAATGTTGGTTTAACTGGTTTAAGCATTGTCATAGAATACATTTACTTATAAAGTTATATACCTATAGGTACACGACAATCTAAAAATAAGGTTCTATGTGTATATAGGTATCGAATTAAGAATATACTCAATAAAGATATTGTATGAAGTCATATATTTGTGTGCATATAGGAATTTTAATATTTTCTTTTTAAGGTATGCCTACCTATGTAGTTACATATTTCATAAAAAATTACTATTTACTACTTTCGGATGTTCTATCGAATTTTATCTAATTTATGTGATAAATATGTATTGTGATACATTTATTTAGTGGTTTTGAAAGTAAAATTACATATTAAAAAAAAAATCAAAATCATAACGATTAAACTGGAAATATATTTTAGGTATATATTTTTGAATCCATGAATCTATTCTCTTAAAACGTGTATGTAAAAAGTCAATAGTATCAAGTAATATTGCTTTATATTTATTTCATACAAAAATACAAACAATTTGTTTTATTTTTTATTGAAAATTATACTTCTTTTTTATGTGAACTCTTTCCCCGGTCTGATTTTGCGTATAATAGAAATTATTGAATTTATATTTTAAATTAAAATATCATACTTATGTGACAATTATCTTTTTTTTTAAACAATCGAAAAGCTTAAAAAATCTTACTGTCTCATGTATCACGCAGTTGCAATTACAAAGTATATGTTTTGGCTAAACGTTCAGGCCATACAAAAAAAAACGTTAAACGTGAGTTGTTGTTATTTTATCAACGTTCATGGTGTAACTACTGGTGTAATAGATCATTATAAGTTATAACAATCACTAAAACAATAAGTAGTTTCCAATTTAGTTTGTATTTTACACATTTTTGACCAAACCATTATGCACATAACAAAGTTTAAAAGCGCATAAACTTTTATTTAATATTTTTCATGTCCATAAATAATGCTGAAGCTATATTTTATGAACTATGTTCATAAAAAAACTTTAAAAATATTTTCTGTTTATCTTAATAGGATTCATACGAGTTGTCACACATTTATGATATTATTTACATACACAGATACGTCGAATATTTATACAATTATATTTTGTATTTTAATGATACAGAATAGACGCTCTTGCAACAATAAAAATATAGATTATGTGTTATGTGTAATTATAAAACTATGGAATTGGGTTACGCATTCAGTTATGAATTAAACTATATATTCTTATTTTCTAACTTCGAATAGTCAACTAAAACTAAAATTGAATTATATTTATAAAAAAATTGTCTGAGAGATTTTTATTTTTTAACTACATTATTTAGTGAAAGCTTACCATAGTTTTAGTACAATCACAAATATTTTTTAAGAATAAATATTATAATACACAAATTATTTTGTTTTGTTTCATAAATATTATTTGTAATTCGTATTATATAGCTTATATTTAGTAGATGGAAATAATTATATATTTATAAGTGGGATTAGATGCATAGACATTATTAGCTATTTCCATGAGTAAAAAAAATGCATGTATATTACAGTGTAGACTCTGTAAATTAAATATAATTTACGAACCTAATGTAATTATGTTCTAAGAGACTAAAAAGTAGGTACCGTTACCTGTGTACTACTGCCTACTAGGTAAAAATTATATTATATATTTCAAACATTTTTCTAAACTATGAGAAATTTGAAATACGACCAAATCAAATATTAGTTGACTATAGTCTATAAGTATTACTATACTTGCTGACAACCTAAAATTAGGAAGAATAAAAATCTCTAAGATCTTAAATAAACCAATTTCCGAAGTAGGAACGTTGGACAGGTGAATCACAGTATTTATCTTGAAATAATAAACTAGTTCCACCCCAACTGAAATCAATCATTTTCAATGTGACTTTGGTGTTTTTAATAATCCACATAATATATCGACGTCTATAAAACCATATTTTATTTATGATATTACGTATTTTGGTCATATCTCGCACACATAAATTGTGTAAGTTTTCCCCCAAAATGACGTGTCACTTTAACGAAAACTGCAACAAGCTTTTAAAAATAGGTTTGTTTTAATATCGTCCATAGATCGTGTTCAACTGATTTATTATTTTGTATTCATATATTATTCATATTGTAATATATTATTATATTCAAGAATAAAAATAAAGTAAATATAATGTGATAGCGGATATGAAGTTTTAACACCGGTTCATAGCAAGGCCATTGGGATTTTGGCCGGATTACAGATCTAAATTTCTTTTCTGGATAAACTACCTACCAGTGACGAATACGAAAAAAAGAAAGTTATTTTAATCGATGTCGTATGGTATTTTTGCTTTTACAAACACCGTATGGGCGTGCACTTCAGTATAAACACCAAATGAGAGAACAACTAGTACAAAGTAATCCAATATGTATAGTAATACAATATAACACCAATTTTGGTTGTAAAAGGAAAAAAAATGACCTTATCATTTTTCCAGAATTTATAAACTAATTTGTGCAATATGGTTTAGTAAGGGTTATCTTTTCCCAATGTGTATTTTTGGATTAAGTTGTTGTTGGTATAAACAGTTCAAAGTTAACATATTTTATTTATTTTATTGAGACACAACAACGGTGTCTAAATATAAAAATGTATAACGGTATTACACTATTACATAGTTATTATTTGTATGTATTTAATAGTTAAAAATTAAAATAAAATGTCTATATAATAAAACAAAAATATAAACATCAACGACCGAGTCAGATTCCTAAATTAAAATGAATACAACTGAACCGGAATTCTAGCTCTTAAATAATTTAATTTCTTTTTTTACTAAACTTGTTTAAATGTTTCGAATGATTGTATAATGAATTATAATGAAAATCTTAACATTATTTCTTGAAACAGATTGTCAGAAAACGAGTTTAGGATAATAAATATGGTGACCATAAAATACTCGACCTATTGAAATAAATTTATGTAGAAAATTTCGTGGACGTGGAAAAATATTCTTGAAAAAAAACTCCATAATTTGTTAGTTAGGTATTCATTTACTGTCTTGTTTAAGTTACACACATCTATAGAATTGAATTTGTTTTAAATTTAAATTGTATCGATACAAGAAGTGAAAAACTTTTCACATGTTTCTTAACTCAGCCGCCTGGTACTTATCGTGTTCAACGCTTTTAAATGGAGTATATAAATATATATATATATATATATATCATATAATACTGCGTATAGTGTCTTTTAACGCGTGAAAGAAATCGTTATTAGTTTTGTCGACGGAAAATCCATTGTTTTCATACTATAAACATTTACGTCCGAGAAAATAAATAAAAATATTGCGACGTTTTCGATGTGTTTGCGCGTCTCTGGATGATATCCGACTTTTACTATAAATAATATATATATATTGTAAAACGTTTTTATTTTAATCGCCGAACGCCTTTGTTGTGCGGAGACGACGCCATTCGTGACAATAATAAAAAAAAAAAAAAAAACTTAAAACGTAACTCTCGTATTCACCTCATTCTGTGGAAACTACAACGATAATATTAATTCGGTTCGATACCTATTGAAAACAAATGCCATGTTGAGGGGGGTTGGGGGGGAGGTAAAAAAGAATTGTCTGAGAAAAAAAAGCGCCATGTAGGGGTGAGGAAAAGTATAGTATAATTATGTTGTGGGCGTCTCAGCCATATGTGTATAAATTTAACACTTCAACACGTTAGCGACGTACTGCAGCGAAATCGAATTGTTTGTTTTAATACATTTTACCACTGTCCATTTATTATTAAAACAAATATTTAAGACAAATGGTAAGTTTACAGCCTGTCAAACGTGTTATTTCGTCGTGATAACAATATTATAATATTATATTACACTCACATAGTCACATATGACAGACACGAGACACGTAAGACTGTACGTTATATACTAACATTACAATATTATGTTACTTTAATATATTATTAGGTACCTGGGTATGTTGTAACAAAACGTCTAAACCGAAACGATTTTCAAATTGAATGTTTCAATGTCGATGGAAATTACTGTGAGAACTAGCAGTTTAACCTATGGATTAAATATTTTGATCACAGAACCGGCATATTGTGTTTACCAATTAGTTAGTATAATATTACACATACTAAATTAAGATATCACTTAAAAACATGTGATGAAAAAATTAAAACATTCAAACAGTATCAGTGTCACTTAAGACACGAGCACCTATAGGTACTATAGTAACATTTGAACATACTCCGATGAATTAGAAAAACCAACAATTATATTTAGGTATACCTATATGTACAGGAAATCCGAACAAATGGAAGAAACCTCATTCCACGTACTGGATAAAAATCTTTCGTAGCCATCGAGGTAATAATGTAAACTATAAAGACACTTAGACACCTCTTTTGAAACTATAGAATACAAAATACACGGAGATAACATTACAAATATTAAATACTGAAAATCTCAGGGCAGTCAAGACTATTCCGACATGAATAAATAAAACACAAGTGCCTCGTGACATTTATTGAATACTTATATAGGTGCCACTTAGGTTGGAATTGTAGTGCACAAACGGGCTATCAAAACACGTGAGGTTACACAGCAGCACAACTATATCCTGCAGTGCACCACCAGCCACACACAGCTGAGTCGTATATTACATAATATTTTATGCACGTGTTCGTATACTCGAAGTCGCTAATCGAATAGAGATCACGGCCCAGTCCTTTGTGCCTTCTACTG